TACCCAGGCATTTGAGAAATTTCCAAAATCTTAAAAATATACCTCCCTCAAATACCTATAGGAATTTGGGAAATTTCCCAAAAGACTGGGTATCTTTTAAGATATAATAATAAAAAAATATCATCTACTTTTTTAGCATTTTATAGGTAAAGAATACTTTTACAAAATTTAGATATGTACCTCATTATTTTGATAAAACAACGAAAATTTTTTTAAAATGCAGGTTCATATTAGTTTTTTAATTTTTTTATATAAATCAACAAATTGAATATATTTATTGACTCAAACTATCAATACAATTTATTTTTAATATTTGATAAAATAACATTTTTACTATTACAACATATTAAGAAATTAATAGTATAAACAACTTTAGACTATTACTATTTAGTTTATGAACAACCTGATATCTGGAATATAAAGGAACCGAGCTTATTCAAGTTGAGGGCCCTGCCTCAATCTTTTGATCGATAAAAAAATTAATTATTTTCTTATGTTTATACAGAATCGCTCTCTCAATAGAGTTTACTGCTACTTTTTGTTCTTCATTAAGATTTTCTCTTGATTTGTTGAAACGGAAGATGTTGGCTGATTTGTTGTTGGCTGACTTTTCCACTGTTGTATATCCAAGTCCTAAAATATAAAGAAATTTAATCTTTTTGTCTGTGTGCTCTGATTATGTAAAATTATGATTTTTTAAAATTTGTCATAAACTCTGACATAATAAATAGCGAAATTGGGTTACAAAGATATAGGGATTAAATAATCATGGCTATAATGACTACCTGTGATCCGTTCAAGTAATTTCATCCAATCCAATGGAGTGCAATGAAGTTGATTCTAGGAAATATGTTAATAGATTCGCATAAATGGATATCAGATCAAAAAAACTTTTTTTACAGTGGTCAGAATATAAATCAATATGAAATCATTTACTAAAATGGTGATATAATGCAGAGGCTGGCATGTTTTTCAGTTAAATATAAAAAATTTTTATAATAAAATGTGGTTGGTGTACTGCAAAGAGCAGGCCTAATCAGAAAGACCAAGAGTTAATTTCAAAATGGTATCAGATATATATATATATATATATATATATTTGTAAGGTCTTTAAGGTTATTTCACCATTTCAGTAACCCACACTGTATTTGTATAATAAAATGTCAATAAATGTTACAAAATTATGATTTTTCTAAATTGAATTTTTAAATATGAGTAATCACCTTCATTATTGGATATAGATTTTTACTATTTATGATTCCTAGTTTAATGCTTTCGTTTTTGATGTAATGTGAGCTAGTGAATATCCTAAATATAGTAAATATCAATATCATAATAATATTATGATAATTTGCATATTAACTTATAATTTCCAAAATCAATATTTTTAATTACGTATAGTTTAAAGATTATTTTTTAAAATACAAATTAAACTGGAAATAGATTGGGGTGCACCTATAATAAATAGTGAAACTTAAAATCAGCAAATAAATTTTGTTTATATTTAATTTTAGAAATTCCAAAAAATTACATTCATAGAAAAATTAAAGGTTTAAAAATACCTGTAAATTATGTTGATGTTTTTCATAATAAAATTTATCCCTTGTTCCTGGGTCATGTCGGATACAGATACTTGTTGAGTAAGGTCCACATCTACATCTTCAGCTTCAGCTTCATCAACGTCGACATTTCCAGGTGGATAATCTTCTATGAGTAACTTAAACACCTATTTCAATAAAAAAATAAAGGTATGGAGTCAGTTAATTTGGAATTGTAAAAATAAAAGTAAAATATAGAAACATGCAATAAAAAAAACTGTAATTTATTATATAAAGGTAAGTGAAGATATTTGTATGATACTCACCTCAGTTGAATAATTAACAGTGTATATTGCACGATTCATATCATCTGAATTGATACAAAAACTTTGTTCGTCATCTTCAGGCAAAGTATCAGACGAATCAAGTGTTTCGGATGCAGCAGGTATATTTTGTCTTTGTGCAATACAATTTTAAACTTGAAAGAAATGATCAACAATGAAATATTTTAACAGACCAAAGGATTAGAGTAGCAAAGATAAATACTTTGGTAGGTATTTAATACAATAAATGTATTAAGATTAAATAGCAAAGGCATGCACCATCAGGTATCAAAGATATAAGAAATAGAAAACTTGAATTTGTGTCAAATTTCATTAAAATTAAAAAATCACATGTTTAAAAGTAAACCTTAAGGCACACAAAATCAAGCTAAGCTTTGCGACAAGATTCACACTCTTGACTGAAAAGAAGTTATATAATTTTTTCTTTAAATAATGTTATTCTTAAATACCTGCAACATTTGCAACACTGTGGTTTTTAGAGTCGTATTGAAGGTCATCCCTAAACAAATTGTATACATATTTCATTCATACCTTTTTTATAAATTAAATCAAAGTTACCTAATGTTTATCATTTCATCATGAAATTTAACAAACGTTTCTTTTGCCTCATGATCCAGAGTGTACACGCGTTCACATCTATTTTTTAAAATTATATTATCAAATTGGATTCTGTTCACTAAGATATAAAAGTATACTTATTCAAATATTGTCTATAAAAATTTAAATTATTGGATATTATTAACTCAAAATTAATAATTTCGAATTTACCTATGACTGTCATATAATGCTCTAAACAAGTTTTTGAAGTCAATATTTTTCACATTCTCATCAACAGGACAGTTTTTTGCCTCGTAAGTTGAAACTCCTAAGGGCACAGAACACCAAAGAAATCTTAACAAACATTTTGTATGTAATAATTTTTAAAATTTTATCAATAATAATATTTTATTCAGTCTAATTAATAAAAGTAATACCTATCAAAGAATCCAATTTCTTCTCCCACTTTGATATTTTGTAATATTATGCTGGGCTAAAAAAAATCATTTAAATACTAAGCAAAATTTCCCTTAAAATATTAATAATACTGAGGCCGAATTTAAAGAATTTGAGCAACGGCTTAAATTTAATCCGCAGCTCAAATATGGGTGGTTTCCTTTAGGATTATATTCGATATTTCAAGATCAAGGCCGGAGCTCAATTGAAACTGGTTATTGGTGGATTTTAGACGTGGCTCAAACTCATTAAATTCGTACACTGGTTCCCTAAAACAGAAACATATATCCTAACACTAATAGACGTCATAGTAGTTAAATGTTATTATCTCCTAAATGAAATATTTTAAGTATATCTATATTAGTAAACACTCCTATTCATGATAGTTCAACCTTCATTTGTTCCTGAAAAAATGTATTAACATTGTCAATGATAAAATACTGCATAGCAATTTATTCCTAAGCTAGGTCGCGATGATATTATTCACAAACTCTAATTTTATGAATATTATATCTTTGAAACCTAATGTCATTTGATATTTCAATCTTAATTCTATTATAGGTTCAACGCTTATGTTTAAAATTCACAATGTATTATCATCAGGTTGTATAGCTATTATGGATTGGAAGATATAAGTTTGTTTCAAAAACTCATGTATTTTTCAATGGCTATTCTGAATTGTAAAATTGTATAAATGATTGAATTCTGGACCTGCGATGCAGCAACTATGCTCAGTCTCGGTTTGTTAATTTTGCTGAACCCCTCGCCTTTCAAGTTGTTTCTAAATAATCCAGAGATATATTTTATAGATTTATATAACTTTTTCTGTTTGAATGTTGACCAAATACATTAATATGGTTCTAAATTGTAATTCTAGTGAGAGAGAGTAGGGTTGGGATTGTTTAAAGGGACAGACCGACTATGTAATGCAGTAAAACTGAGTATGCAGTGTTGTGAAAAAATTCTTTAAGATACATTTAATACATATAAAACTTTTTAAATAAAACTTTAATAATTAGAAAAAAACAATTCTGAATATGTATGTATCCACCCAAAAGTACGATCTTGAAAATCGACTATGCGCTCAAACTCTTCAAACTCAGGATTTTCAGATCTTTAATAACTTTTATATGTCTCAAATGAATCCTAAAGAATTTTCAATTTTTAGTGAAAAAATTGTTTAGTCTTGAAAAAAANATCCAGAGCCATACTTCAATGTGACAGTACATACAAAGGAGCTGATTAAAATTATAAGTAAGTTTTAAGTTAACATGTTTTAAGCGGTCCATTTAGAGCTATTATTCTTATTATGAAGATATATTGTTAACACATGTTCATTAAAAGTATGTATTAATATAAACTTTACATCTTTAATAGTTTGGCAGCAATCATAACTATGGAACCTATTGCACAATTTTTCTTTAATTTTAATCAGATAACTTGGAACATTGAACACTTCGTAATTTAATTCTAAGTTGATTGATTTGACTTACATTGGGAAAACTTTAGGCAAAGATGGGTTTCCAAACTATTAGATTTTATTTTCAGAATCAGACTGCTTAGATAATGACCAAATTTTAAGTAAATCTGTTCGAACTCTTTTACACCCTGAAACTGTAAGTATAAAATAATATGCAGTATAAAGAATACTGTGATTTATTTAATATTGTCGCATTTTAGATGTGTTGTGGTCAGAAATTAAATTCAATATATAGTAAAGGTGTGAAAATATACAGTGGATGTTATGACATAAAGGTAAACATTTCACATTCAAGGGCGTATACAGTATTAAGTTTAAGTCAGGTTTTTCATTTTCAGAAATGTCTTTTACTATCTCTAGTTTAAATACTAGTTATTACTAACATAACAGTATAATAAAATCGATTTGTTATGAACAATTTTTTTTGCTAGTTTTGTTTGAAATAGAGATAAAGTATAATACATACAAGGTAATTGGAATGTATGTGTACCTTTAAAGTATCTTATACTTACACCTGATATCCCAAAAAGCAAATTGTTTTGAATTTACAGCTCAAATTTTGCCCCCCCCCCCTAGAATTATTTCTGTATGCGCCCTTTTTCACATAATTTAATGATTAATGGTAACTAAATATATCAAATGTTAACTCACATGTTTAGTGATTCTGCTTTCATTATAGATTTACAAAAAATACATTAAATTATTTAGTCTGAGAATGCTGTAGCTTTCAAGAAGAGTTGTATTTTGTGTGGTATGATTTATAATCCATGTTATAAAAGAAATGCTACATCGCGAACTTACATTATTAATGATGAGGTAAAAAAATCATTTTAATATATTGTTTTGCAGCAACTTGTTTTTAATTTTTTTACATACTCGATTTATTGTTATGAATATGATGATTGAACACATAAAATATTATTAAACTATATACATTTAAGATATTTGGCGCTACTACTCAAACATACTTTACAACAGCGTTCTTAGGTAACTGTTTAAAAATCCCAATACCAGACCTGGTTACTAGTTTTTAAATCATACTACTGTTGTATATCTGAATACTATAAGGAATTTGTATATCTGAAAACTATAAGGAATTTGCTTCGCAAATTTTCTTGTATAGTTTTCCTAGATTAACATATAGTCTTAACAATTGTTAATTAGATTAATTATAGTATTTTAAATGTTTAAGATTCACTCAAATCTTAGTGTTAAGGTACTTTACAGTTTGTTTTGCATTTAGTTTAAAGTACGTCTGAGAACGAAATGTTATGAATATAAATAAAACTCATGCCGAAATTGATACAAAGTTGATTGAAAATATATTTTAAAAGCCAACATTTCATAGCATGTGTTTAAAAAGATCTAAAAATATTTTAAAACTTTCAGATAGTACTTAAAAATAGCATGTACTAGCTTGTGAACTTAGCGCTGCCCAGTTTGTCCATGTTAATTAAATTTACTCCAACCATTTACATGCATTTACCGGGAAAATTTGTTTTTCTATTAAATTTTACAAACTCAACTTGAAATATTAAACCAAGCTAATAATATTCACCCTAGGGTCTCCCTATTCCCTCAATCAAAATTTGAGTCAATTATGTCCAGTGATTCCTGAGTTATGATCGGAAAAACAAACAAACTGACAGAAAACCAGAAATTACAATATGTAGATGATATATGAAAGAAATATTTTTATTGAATAATTTAGAATTTGTAAACCGTCTAGTTGCACTTGGATCAGTAACCTTTGATGCCATAGCAGAGGTATAATGACGCTTGAAATTTTGCCCATAAGACCCTTTTAAAGCCATTTTATAGGATAAATGTATGCCTTTTTATGGCTTATTATATAAATGTTACATTCAGATCTTTAATGATAGCATGGACAAAAATGATGAAAAGGTTTGCTCTAAACGAATAGGTAATTGTTTCCGATAAAGCTTTATAATAAGTTAACCCTATCCCTGCTGGGGTACTTGAAAACCAGGGCCCAAATTTTTTGTGAGACATCTAGGGACCTTAGGGAAGGTTTATGAATGAAATTTATATTATTTGTCTCAATCAAAATTCGATCTTCAATAAATTTTTAAAAATTTTGAACATCCACGAAATTTTTTGTGAAAATCCACGAATTATTTTTGTTTTGTTTTACGATGTACACAAAGAGAACATGTTCACAATTAATTTAAGGCTAGGCCTATATATTCCAAACAATTGTTTTAGATATGGAGGAATTAATGAAGTCTGTATATGGAATTGGTAATTATTCATTTATAATATTATAACAATGTTCAATGAAAGAAAATGGGTATTTGATTTTCTAATCCATATATCTTTGCATTCAAATGTTGTATTCATTTGAAATTTCATACTATTAATTCTGTTTGGTCACATAGTACAAGATTGAAATGGTTACACCATCAGGTTGCAAAGTAAAGGTATTTAAAAATTGAATTTGTGTCAAAGATTCAAGGAATATAAAAATAATATGTTATTTTCTAGCAAGAGACAATTTCATCAAAAAAAGTGTTATGCATAGGTGTGATGTAGCTGGATGCAAAGGTTAAATTTTAACTATAAATTCAAAATTTCATTTGTTTATTAATTATTTGATATTTGAATACAATTTGTTGAAAACTGTTATTAACATTTTTCAGATCAAATGATAGTAATTGATGGAAATGAAAAACTGTACAGGTAATAGAATGCTAATTTGTTAGGATAATATTTTAGTAATATAACAACGCGTTATTTGTAGGTCCATATGTGCGTCTGAGAGATTAGGGAGATTGTATTATTAAACATTTATTTTCATTAACACTTAATTTTCTTTCTTATAATAACTAATTTTAAAATCAAAACTCAGTGAAAAATGCGTAAAATAAAGAAAATAAATGTTGGGTTGGGGAGGACAACAGTTTTTCTATTTTAAAATTTTTAAAATTTCATAGCCTTTGATTATTTATCCAAATTAATTAAAGGTTTAAATAATTATCTTAAATCAGATAAAAAACAGCTTGATCAAGGTATTTATTTATGGCTGATATTGATGTAACTAATATTTCAATACTTGAAATTGTTAAAAATTATGACGTAGACGATGATGACAAAAAACAAAGTAATATAAGGCCATAAGAGAATTTTAATCAGAATACACAAAGTTCCATAATACACTATAAATTCATTTTTGGTGGCTGTATAATTGTATATTTGGAAAACAAATGCAACCGAAATTGGATTTAAACTACCAAATCAAGAAACTGAACTCAGTAATTTAAGATAGGGAATACACGGACACCCTAACAGACAAGAGAATTATATGCAAATAGATCTGCGTTTTAGCCTCCCCCAAACACCCTATAACTGTCCACTTTGCCTGGCCTGTAGATATTGTTTCGATATAAGCCTAATTGAATTGTTTGTAAACAGATTGCTAAACCAGATTTAGCCACCGAAAACAAGTTCATTCTGTATTAAAGAATTCTTTTTTTGTAAATTTAATAAATTCTCTTATGGACCATTTTAGAAAAATCATATATCACTATCCACAAAACTCCAATATATATCTTCCGTCAATGTACTGTAGATTATTTTATTACACATGTCATAAATTAATAAAAGCTTATAATAGAATTCTAAAATAATTGAGGTATTGAAAAAAAATCTAAAGATTAAATAATAAATAGAAGAAGTAATTTTTTTTTTTAGGTTTACCCAATTTGGTCATCAAGTGTATAAACACACCAGATATCAAGAATAAGACATTTTTCTGTAAAGATCATGCATTGGTAAATTTTTATAATTTTGAAAAATAAAAATTATCATATAACTCAAAATTGATCAATCTTTAACTGAAAACATATAGGAATATTTTAACTCTTTAATACAATTATTTAATTTAACGTTTATAGAATGTTCGTGCTTCCACTGATAGACTTGATTTCAAACCAATTACACGTAGTTATGCTAAAAAAATTGAATCTGTTATTGGTGTAGAAGGTATTAAATAATTTATAAAAAAAATAATTCATCTTATATCTGATAATTTATTAATTTTTATCAAAAAAATATTTAAACACATTACCAGCTGGAAACACGTTGTTAGTTTACATAGTGTTGATTAGATACAAGGGTGCCAATGTGAATTGGGATTCTTCAAATTTAAACAAAGGGTCACTTAAAATTTCAACATCAGTTCCATTTTAAAAATTTACAAAGGAACTGAGTCTTTGTTACAAACTCAAATTTTCTAATCCCCATATCTTTGCAACCTGATGATGAAATCTTTTGATATCTCAAACTTGAATTTGCACTCTTACGAAATTCATATTTTGAAATATATGATGTCTACGACATTGGGTTGGGATTAGAAAATCAGAGTTTGTGACAAAAACTTAATTCCTTTCTATTTTTATTTGAATTTCAGGAGAATGTAAACAATATTCAAATATAACAAAATACGTGGTCAGAACAGCAGGAATGTTTTATGGATTTAGGTATAAAAATAATAAAATATTATTTGTTTTTTTTGTCTTAAATGCTCTGGCATTTTATTATGATTTTGAATCTTCATCTTTACAACATTTATGAAACTAAAAAGTCTTATTAATTAAAAATAAAAATTCAATTGCAATTTACTAAAAAACATAGCATCAAAATGTGTATGTATATTTATCTATAAAAAAAATATAATGCCATTTCAGACCTTGTGGTTATAGAGTATTCAATGCGGAAATGTACACGGCTGAAGCTTTAAGGTAAATGATATTTTTTATTACTGAAATGACAGCTAAAACGATGTGCTAAAATTATTTGAACTGAATTAAATTAAAATTTAAATATTACTGGTATATAAACTAAATTGGCTCAGAAAGATTCAGGGGAGGAACAAATCAATATCTTAATGAGGGGGTTAATATTTGCTCGCGTAAGCTCGCAAAAAAACAATAAAGTGTATGTGAACCCCGCTAGATGGTATGCGGGACTGAAGTATATTCTCCAACTCCTTCTTTAAGTACAATTCAGATAATCTTCCTGGTTTAAACTCGGTTCCTGCTTCATCTACGCATTATTGAACTTGGTTCATATACCCTATATTCGTATATCTTTGCAACCTGATGGTGTAAATCTTTCATATTTCAAACTTATGTCATTTATTCTAACAAAATTCATTATTTGAAATATCTAAGGGTTACGGCATTGTGTTCCTTTAGATAAAGGGATAAGAAAATCAGGTTTGTGGCAAAGACTCAGCTCATTTGTATGTAACATTATATTAGTTTTCAAAAATATAAAGTATATTTTTGTTAGATATTTTTTTTTGTATATACAATAAGTAATGTAAAATGTTTTTTTTTTACAGGGCATGTGGTTTATACAAAACCATAAGAAACATGTCAACTAAAGGAAACGAACTTGCAGTAAAATTCTCAAATCTATCTTATATTGTTGACTCATTTCATATCAAAGGTATTTTGTTTTTATTTCTACCATACACATCTATTTATTATTTTCATTACATTTACATTTTTGAAATTCAACCAAATAATGTTTTTAATTATATTTGTAGTTTTTAAAAATCATGTTAATTGTAAAAATATATTAATCAATCCGGAATAAATTCGGAAAAATTTGATCATTATAAAAGTACTCAACGAAATATTTATATGAAATATAAGCTGTAGAACCCAGCATTGCACAATGGTATAAATATTTATTCCCGCCGTATACCCGCACTTAGACCACTTTTAATTTCGCTATAAAAGTCGACGAACTAAATTTAGAATCTCAAAACCAAGCTAAGAAAATTCTTACGTTTCATTTGATTTACCTAATCAAAAATTTAAGACAAATTGGCCAAGGGGTTCCTGAGATATGATCTAACAAACAAACAAACAGACAAACATAGATTGCAACTTTATGTATATAGACATAACTTATATATACAATGCATTTAATTTATACGGTGTGGGACCTTTAGCAAATGTAGCACAGGAAAAGCCTAATGTATAAAGTGTATAAGCATTATGGTTCTGAAACTACAAATGTATATAGTAATTTGAGCATAGAAATAATATTAATTAAGGAGTTTTTAAAGAGAGTGACCGGCTATGTAAGGTAATTGATCTGAGTATGCAGTGTTGTGGAAAACTTCTTTTGGATTCATTTGAGACATATTAATCTTTTTAAAGATCTGTAATTACTGAATTTAAGCACAAATTCGACGTTCAAAACTCCTACTTTGGGGTTGGATACGTCGAATTTGCACCCAAACTCAGGATCTACAGATCTTTAAAAAGTTTTTATGTCTCAAATGAATCCGAAAGAAGTTTTCCACACACTGTATACTCAGTTCAATTACCTTACATAGCCAGTCACTCCCTTTAAGCATAAGGTATTCTTCACTTTATTAAGTTTATTAAATTTCATTTTTAGGCCATACAGAACAGAAATGTAAGGATCATCATAATTTAGAATTGGATAAATTTGCTCATCTAAAAGGAAATACCTATACAATTTTGATATAAGAGAGTAGCAATTGGCAATGAGGGAATGGGTTATATTTAAAATATCTCAATTAAAATTAAATGAGTATAGGTTTTAAAACAAAAGGCATGAACACGGAAATAGCAGAACAGAGCTTCTCTAAATTAAACAAGGTAAATCATTTACAATAATAATTTTAATATAAGCATTTTTATTGCATTGATATAACGAATTTTTACGGAAGGTAAACGTCCCTGTCTTGAATTAAGGAAAGGCCAATATTTTTTCAGTTTTCAAACATAATAATAATAATAAAAAAAAAAAAATTATTTTAGATTAAAAACGTGACAAGAGGAATGTCATATTCTCGAAGATTGGTCTATTTGCTAGTTATTGATACAATTTTCAATGAGAGGAAAGAAAAGGTGTAAAAATTAGCTATATTTTTACATACAAAATCATATTTTCTTTTTCCTATGATTTGCGACCTAATATCTAACTTCGTTTCATGATGTGAGTTTGATTAAACAAATAATCTAAGTTTGAAATATGTAAAACATCAGGTCGCAAAATTAGGAAGATAAAAAATTGCGAATTTATATCATTTAAAATTGCTTTTATCTAAGTTTTAAATTTTAAAGTACAAATCATAGTTTCAAAATGAATCAAATATCAATAAATATAGCCCTTTCATAGTTAATCAAATAAATTTAATTTAATTTGAAATTATTAATGCTAAATAGTGATATTTAATAATAAAATAAAGTTGAAATTTTTTTAGGATCAACAGAAGTAGTTTTGTGGATCTTACTGAATAATTCTCATATTTCTATAAAAAAGGTAAATTATTAAAATTAATACCTGCAGTCAATGGAGTAAGTATAGAAATAAAAGCACTATTCTTTGGCGGTGAAGGTTCAATATTTTCTGATATGAACCTTATGCATTTTTTAACATTTCCTTTATTAATAATTATTGAATTAATAATTGTTATAAATGTTGATACTAGAATCAACATGGTATACAATTTGATTGAAAGAAACTAGTGAATTTTTTTATATTTTTTCGCGCATTATTCTTCATAATCCAAGAAACTGAATTGAGTATTTGCCACAAATTTTTATTTTCTAATACCTATATCTTTTCAATCTAATGTCTTAGACTACTGCACAGGTGGTGTATAGATTTGAAATATATTGGGATATAAAAAAAAATTTAAGGTGTTTCAAAATTGATCTGTACTTGAAAGTTAAGGACATTTTTGATAGAAGTCTGGGTATTTATTAGATAAAACAAGTTCTTTTTGCGATGTGATGTATTTTACGTTTTCATCCATATTTTTATAAGACTATTTACGTAACTTTAGTAAACTTTGCTTTCGAAGCCTGCGCTAGTTGTATAGTATACCTTACACTAAGTTTACATTGTACAAAAAGTTTTTGGATACTTAAAGGGTTCTTAAACCTAATTACAAGTGACCCCCCATGCAAAGATGGTTTTGCTCTATTTACATTGGCTCCCTTGAAACCTTAATGTCATTAAAAATGTAGAATATACCGTAGTTTTTCTGACTCAAAAAGTGATTATTTCTGAAAGTTTCTCCATATATATAAAGCAAGTGTGTAAAATGATTATTAAAGGCAGGGCGGTTTAATAATTGGGTGAGAAAAGCCGATTTTGACCGAAAATATTTTTTCTTTTTTTCATATCATCAAAAGTAAAAGCAGCAAATAACTTTAGCGCCCAAATAAAGGTGAACATTGGCGAATAGAAGCCTGTAATGACTTGAAATTAAAATAGAATGCCTTAGAAAAAAAAAATTTAAAAAATATTGAAAATGACCGAGTTATGGGCGTTTCCGTAAAAAAAATTGTGAAAAATAGAGTTTTTCGGAAAAATATTTTAGACACTTTGTCATTTTTTCATCACTTGGAGGTCGATTTTGATGTTTTAAAAGCTGGAATCGTATTCTCCAAGATCTCCTGCTATCTTTAATGGCCTTTAAAGTTTTTCTAGGGCATCGGAAGACATAATTAAAAAATTTAAAAAAAAACTTTGGTCAATTTTGACGAAAATACGCGAAAAAGGCCATATTTTCGATATTATTTGGCCTGTCCCTACCAAACTAAGCATAGCAGAAACGTTTAAAAGCATGGAAAAGATGCCCCGAGACATGGACATTGTAATGTAAAAAAACAAAATGCCAATAACTTGAAAAACGACATAGCAACTGAGATACTTAAAGGGTTCGTAAACGTAATTACAAGTGACCCTCTATGCAAAGATGGTTTTGCTCTATTTACAATGGCTCCCTTAAAACCTTAATGTGATAAAAAATGTAGAATATACTGTAGTTTTTCTGACTCAAAAAATGATTATTTCTAAAAAGTTTCTCTATTGATTATTATAAACAAAAATGCCACCCCGGACTAACCAGAGTGAGAAGCATTCGGTTTCATTTATTTGAAATCAAACGTGTTTTGGTCCATAATTCAACAATCTCTTAACTTACGGATTTTTTTATTCTATACTTTTTCATTCAAAATGTATATACCAACAAAAAAATATTTAAGAAAAAAAGCTAAAATATTAAGTATAGTTATTCAAATCCTGATCGAAAGCCACCGCTCATCATTCTCAAGGTTGATTAACAATAAAACTTAAATTGAATGTAAATTAAAATTAAAAGAATAATAGACGACATGCTGTCTAACAATGATTAAATTCAGTTAAAAAATATTAATGATTAAAATGATGACGTTCAGATTATTGAAATTTCTATGAAATAAACGATTGAATTTATGTAAAATCCGCAAAATTAAGTTTAAAATTCGCAATTGTTTCATTATCATGTCTTACATAAGGAGATCATCTGAATTTGCTGCTATTAATAAAATGCTGAAGGCTACTCATGCTGTTAATGTAGATATTGATAGGTAAGCTGATTATTAAAATTGTTATTATTGTAGCTTGTAGCAGTAAATATAATTTTCATTGAATAAACATTTAAATTCTTTTTCAGAATGATTGATCCTGCAACCGGGATGTTTATTAAAGAAAAAGCTCGTGTTTATGGGACCCACCCAGTGATGGTGTTCACAAATTTGATAGGTTTATTAAAAAAAGATTTATAATTCAATAATATAAGTATAATATAATTCTCTTGAGGGAATGAAGAAACTGTGTTCATGCAACATACTTTGATTTCATAATTCTTATATTTTTGAAACCATATATGTCGTAGATCATGTGTTATTTTAACCTACGCGTAATAAAGGTTTACATCATCAGGTTGCTCAAACGTAAAGATTAGATAATTTAAATATGAGAAAGTAGTTCCTTTAATAAACAGTAATGAAAAATGTTTTTATAAAACATAAAACTGTATTATTAGGTGCGGTTAGTAATGTGTTAAGCTCTGCCTCTGTGGCTGTCAATGACAATAAATGGATAATTCCCTCAAACTTGTGGACCATGAATGTTGCGATGAAAGGTAAAATACAATTATTATGTAACTGACATTTTTTGGTTACTCAGTATTATAGAAAATAAGTTTGCGTTCATGGTGTAAAATATGTTAAGAAATAGATAAAATAGAAATATTTATTATAACTTACCTAGTTTAGGCTCTATATCCAAATACTCTAACACAAAGATTTGATATCTTGTTTTATTTGTTTTATTTTTATGATCTGGAAAATCAACCTCGTTAAAAGAAATATCGGCGGCGTTAGAATCTTTAGAGGTTATTGAGCTGCATGAAGTGTCATGGTAAAAATAAAAAAAAAACAATTTTTTAAAAATTAATTTTGATTAAAATAATATTAATTCTCAGTGGAGACAGCAACTCTCATGATGAAAGAGAGACTCAAAGGGTCGTCCATAATTCTACAATTGAAGGTAATTTAAGCATTTTTAATTATATGATAATTTACTATAAATTTTTACATTTTTCAGCTTTAATCCAGTTAATGGGCATCAACCAGAATAATGCTATTGTTTTGATGACAGACGAGTTTGGACAGGTTTTAAATTTTTTTAAAACAACCAATTTAATAATTTAAATAGATTAAATTAATCTCAGCTTATTCAATTGCAATCATTATATCTTTCTCATATTTTTTATCCAACAGACACATTTTTATGTATTCACATTCATTTACTGTTATTTCAATTTATCAACCCAGATACCCAGGCATTTGGGAAATTTCCCAGATACCCAGGCATTTCCCAAATACCTATTTTAATAGAAAATGTAAATGCTGTCGTGACATGAGCCCCCTGTATTGGTTCATATTCAACGAATTCAACTATATTAACAATTCTCTGTTAAATGTAAATCGTTATTTTTAACTTTGTTTGATCCTAGCATTCTTAAATAGTATTTTTAAACAAGAAGTATTAAAAAAACATACACAAACAATCTAAAAGCAAAAATGCATAATTATCTTTAAATATTTCAAGGTTTGAGGAAAAAACATTAACACTTTATCAGTTAGTTAGTTGGTAAAATCATAATTTAAAAAAGATTTTCAAAACCAAAAGTAGTAAAAGTATTGTATTTTGAAAATTTAATATTCAATAACTTTAGCTAGACTATTTAAAGATCTCAAAAAATACAAAATGATCATCTATTGTTTAATTTGTTATTTCATCTCATACACACACAGAGAGTATTTAATGCTGTAATAATGCATTGGTGGGATTTCCTTCAACATTTTCAGATTCTTAAGAAATATTAATATTGGCATAATTGGGTAGTAACACATTCTTATCATCTAGCTCTTCATTTCTAATATTTAAAAAGTTTAAGTAATGTCATGAGATTTGAGATCAAAACCTGCAGTCACACACAATCTACAAAAATCATAAGGCATATAATAAAATGGTTGCAAATTAAAATTTGGCTCCCATATCCTATATTTTCTACAAAGTGCATTTCTTGCTGTTACGCGTCATTTTCGTCACGTTCTGTTTCCCCACATCCAGAATACCCTGGAGCAAAGCTGTGAGGCCCCTTCGAACAGAGCCTAGTTGAGTTTGTTCCGCAGCAACAGAACGGGTTATAAATGGTAAGCAAAGTCTTAGAAACCATACTGTCCGTACACTTTTCTAGTAAGTAAAACTTTGATATTTGATGTGATACCTGTGTTGTGACATTGCTTTAGGCATATTAAGGTATTTTTTATGATTTGTGGGTTTTTGGATGGTTTAAGATCATGATCAGGGTATAAGATCATGAAACCTGGTATTTGAACTGGGGTTTTGCACATGATGGGTTAAGACAGTTTTGTAGACACACTTTTTTGGTTAAAATTATTATTTCAAATGATTGGTCTCTTTATTTTCTACTTCTTTTCTTTATTCAACATCTACACATCTGATTAGACTGAAAAAAGGAAGCTTGGGTGTTTAGTCAACAATAATCTCTCAAAGGAATTGAGTTTTTGCCACAATCCCGGTATGTCTGAAACCCCATGTTTTAGACGTTTGATCGTTTAAACTCTGAAATCTATTTTATTAAAAAGTATAATCTTGAAATATCGAAGGTTTACCCCATCTGGCTGCAAAGATATAGGGATTTAAAAGTTTCAGTTTGTGACAAAAACTCAATTCCTTTCCGCATCAGAGCATGTGTACACTATACACCTATTTCTCACCTTAAAGAAGCCAACTGGAAAATTCATAATTTACCTCCACACATAAATGTCACATTTTTAATGAAACAAGGAAAGGAAATTGAACATACCAACCTCTTCTTCAAAGAAGTGAATCCACCATATAAATTATTCTAGTGCATGTTTACTTTACTAATGTTTAGAAACAAATTATGTTTATTTTAATATCTATCAACTACTGTCATTATAATTTATAAACTACTGAATATCTTTTACACCCAGCACACTGCACAGCCGTGACATATGTTAAAAAATCTTTGTAGAAAAAGGTTTGACAGGCAAATTCCAAAATTATGTAGTATATCTGGCAAATTTGATAGTGCCCAACCTGATCACACATTTAATCATAATTAGTGTATTTCTTCATAGTTTGGGATTAAAAGCTTATAGAACTTTTGACAAGTTAATTTGTTCTGTAAAACAAACTTTAAGAATGTTATTTATTTTTCTGTGAAGACTTAGGCAAATATAAAAAATATTTCACATGACAACCTAGATGCAGAAACATGGAGAAGAAAATAAATTTAGATTTGATACCTTTTCAATGCGAAAAGGGATTTCTTCATTATTCTTATTTAATTTTCTTGAAATAAGCATTTAGAATACAATATAATTAATACTGTGCCCACCACGGTTTTGTTCTTGGTTTTTCCTTTTGAGAACATCTCTCTGAATTACAGACAAGTGCACATTTCCAAGATTCATCTCCAACGTTTGCAATCCTAAATCTATTTCCTAAAAGTACAGCAGCATTATTTGTTTCCCCGTCAACTCCAGTAGGCTTCCCATTTTGAGGCAAAATAACTTTTGGGTTGGAATAATAATTTGCTCTCCTTCTAAATTGATATGTTGGATATGACATTATAGACTGGTATCCATTCTCCCCCTGTTTTGCTTTTTCCATTAGGCTTCCATGACCAAATGAATATTCTGGATTGGCACCCTCCTGAATATTATGGAAAGCGCCTAAGTTGTGACCAAGCTCATGTCCATATGCAAAGTGCTCTACACAGTGTTTACCAACCACTGTGAAGGCATCATCATAAAAACCATACAAATTACCAATTCCACAAGCATCATTTTTCATTGTCAATAATGTAGCTGAATCAGCAGTATCTTTTACTTCTCCATAGGACCTTTTCAGTTTCATAAAGGCAGCTAACTGCTTTCTAATGTCATAAATATCATTTAGATCTGCAGCTTCTATGCAATTCTTAACTACAGTAATTGGAACTTTACTGTTGAGAAATCCTTGATTTGTTATAGCTAACATTTTATCAACAAAGTCATTTACATTATTTGTTTCTCTTGCAAACTCTCTTGTGTAGTAAACTTTAACTGAAATGTATGCCATGGTATCATTATCTTCGGTATTTTCATAGGCATAGTAGGCATAGTCCATTTGTCTGTTAACATTGGTATGGTTTGGCATTACATAATCTATTTTAGGTGGACCCATGGCTCTATTTCCAGTTCTACCAGTTTTCAGATTTTCAATCTTTTCGGAATCCATTTCTTTCCACAAATGCCCCTCCTCTCCAATATTTTCCAAAACAAAAGTACGACCATCCTCAGTAAAAGCAGTGCCACTCATACCACCGCTTGCAGGGTTGTATGTGACAATCAGACTAGACCCATCTCCTTCATAATTGTAAGCATTTTCATTGCCTGGAACTTTGTTTTTGAACTTTAATTTTAAATTCCCAGGGAGCAGAATATTTTTTTTTCCAAGAATATCAGAACTAATGTCAGCAATCTGGCAGGATATGTAAAAAGGATCTTCACACAATTTCAATGTCTCTGCACTTGATGTTCTTAAAGAGGAACCAGGACCTAAAACATTTAGTAAGTATTGATTGATATCTTAATTATACAAAATGGGGTCTTGAGATTTGAACTAGAGTTGGGCTTGTTCAACTTTTTTCATATTTTTATCTTTTAAAACAAATTGATCTTGTTTGGTCTCAAAATTATCATTCATTTACCATCAATTTTCTTCGTTTCATCACTGACTGATCATTCAGTAAAATTTTTTGTTCAGTAGATACATATTCGTTCAATAAAAAAGATAGTTTTTTTCAAAAGTTTGTTCCAAAAACATGTTTGTTCAGTAAAAATGCTAGTTTTTTTCCCAAATCTTTTGGTAAATTTGTTAGCTCTTTTAAACAATTTTAAATCTTTCATTTTGTTGTTTTTCCGTTTGTTTCATTTTTTCATTTTTTCATTTTTCTGAATGATCCATTTTGTTCTTCCATCAATCTTTTTTTACTGAATGACACAAAAAATTTTGTGTGTTAAAAAAATTATGCCATATTTAATTGGAAATTTTGTAAAAGATTGCTTTTCTACAAATCCTGAACTTATTATTCCAAATGATTGAAAATACTTCATTAGGAGCAATTAAGTGCATAAACCATATTAAAAGATGTATTTAGTTAGAGAGCAATTTTTTTTTAGAATTCTTATTTGTCTGCCCTTTGAAGACTTTAAAATAAAATTAATTTGATTTCAAAGTCTACTTGAGATATGCATTATTGTTATTTGGATGGATTAAGAATCTGAAAGTTAAGCCCACTGATAAATCTTATTATAACACACATACCTTTTGGATTTAGATCAATCAGAAGCTGAGGTTCATCTTCGTCACTATAGCCAATGCCTTCTTGAGAACTCTCATCAGTTTTAGTAATGATATCATCATTGGATATTTTCTTAACTATCTTCATTTGTGTTTGCACTGAAACAAACAAAGAAAATAAATGCTATTCTCAAACATGCAAGAAACAAGTTTTGATGCATTACATTTTCATGGAAGTTATAAAAGGCTAGACTTCAAGTGGGGATCCATGGGGGGGGGGTCAAGGGGTCGAGAGAATTTTTTGACCCCCCTTTTTCTGGAGAGGACTAACCTAAAAGTTTGGTGTAACTTGTTTTCCAGTAGATACAAAACTATTTTTTTTGTCAAATCAGCCTATTCTCTGGGGAAGAATGGATTTTAAAATTTTTTAAATGTGAAACCTTTATTTTTGTGTTGTGTCTGTTTGTGCGCACTGTGCAGTGAGCTTACGATGGGGGGGAATGGGGGCTCTTTAACTTTGCTTTCCAAGAAAGATATTATTGTAATCACCCCAGTGTGTGTGTTCCCTCAGAGGGTTGTAGTCATTACTCATTTCATAATTCTTGATAAATCATAATAGTTTTAATTTTCATCAATCCTGTAGATTTAAAGTTTTAATAACCCCTGTAATTAATAGAATTTGATTCTTTCCTATCTAAAGAATTAAGTTTATCATGATTTTAACATTAAAGTAAATTTAGTTTTTTCACAAAAGAACGTAACCATTGATATAGTATTTGATAAAAAAGTTGTTCTTTATAAACTTAGATATCCTCAACCTGCTTACCTTGTTATCCTATCCTTCTATAATATATCAAAATTTTCTTGTCTGAGACATAGAGTAAGAAAATGAAGAGGTGAGGCTTAGCTCATGATGCACATAACCAACCTCCCTATTAATTAATTAATAGAGCGCTCAGTTGTATACATCACAATATGTTTATGTATCTAACACTGTACACTTGTTCATAGAGTGATCGTATTTCTAAAGGGGATTTTATGGAATTGACCAATCTTTAGATTTTCTTTATTTATTTAAATCCATATTAAGTGTCTATCTAATTATCAATACTAATATTCAAATATCTACATAAAACCACCCCTTAGAAACACAATCACTCTATATACCAGTGTACAGTGTTAGATACGTAAACATATCGTGATTAGGGATGTTAACGTTTTCATTTTTCAGAAAAACGATCGTTTCGCTATGATAACGACGACAAAAAATCGAAAACGAATCGTTTTTTTAAAAAGTTTGTTTTTTTAAAAATGGTCGTTTTTAAAAACGCTCGTTTTCAAAAACGATCGTTTTTCAAAACGATCGTTTTTATAAAATTCGTCGTTTTGTTAACGATCGTTAACGACGGACCTTCGTTAACGATCGTTAACGACGACCCTTCGTTAAGGATCGTTAACGACGACCCTTCGTTAACGATCGTTAACGACGACCCTTCGTTAACGATCTTTAAGGACGACCCCTTCGTTAACGATCGTTAACGAAGAGAGGAAACCGACCTGAAGGGCATCTGTACTTATCATTGAGTAGTTTTTAAGAAAATATCAAGGAGTTTTAACTCCCCCACAACTGTTACACTTCATGTAAGACGACATTCAATAAAGTTGCATGTAATTTTTTTCCAAAAACAACCGTTTTCATAAAGTTCGTCGTTTTGTTAACGATCGTTAACGACAACCCTTCGTTAACGATCTTTAACGACGACCTTTCGTTAACGATCGTTAACAATGACCCTTCGTTAACGATCTTTAAGGACGACCCTTCGTTAACGATTGTTAAGATAATTGTCAATAAAAAAAAATTTCAAAAAACGATCGTTTTTTAAAAACAATCGTATAAAAAACGATCGCAAATCGTTTTAATAAAAACGATCGTTTTCAAAAACGCTATTCGTTTTCTAAAAGTTCAAAACGAGTGGGTCGTTTTTAAAAACGATAGTTTTTTTCTGAAAACGAAACGATCGTTTTTGAAAACAAAACAAAAAACGATCGTTTAACGATCGTTTAAAGATTGTTTACAAAAACGATTAACAACCCTAATAGTGATATATACAACCGAACACTCTATTAATAAATTTATAGGGAGGTTGGTTGTGTACATCTTAGATGAGCTTCACCTCTTCATTTTATTACTCTATGGTCTGAGATGACTGAGTAAACAATTTTACATATATTCTTTTTTGAACACATAAAATACTCACTGTTAATGCTCGGTGCTCTTCAAGAAAGTTTGACCCCCCCTTTACAAAGAGCTGATTCCACCCCTGCTAGACTATGACATTATGACAAAGTAAAAATCTCTTTGGAAGTTAACACCAGCACAACCTGCTTTCATTGATAACTAGTGTCCACTAATGGTAATTGATTTTGGCATTGCACTCCCCTCTATGTGAATATGATTGGTTTTGGATAGTAAACAACATTTAGAAAAGTTGAAATTGACAACCAGAAACCAGTTTTTATGAAATTTAAGGTTGAATTTTTCACTTATGCAGGTGAAAAAAATGCATCCATATGGGTACCAAAAGATTCATCTTCAAAAATCCTATGATTGTACAAATCTGTTGATAATGAATCCAATTAAAGGCAAAAAACTGATATTTGAGATTAAAAACATGGCTAAAATCCGTTTTTTGCCATATATCAAACAATTTTAAAAATCTTGAGACAAAAACAACGGGACAGTTTTTTGCTGGACCCAGACGCATCATTTAATGTGTTTTGAATTGGGCACATTCTGTGAAATCATTTGGTTCTAGAACAAGGGCCTTCAGCTAGATCCTTTTTTTCCAATCGTTCCATTCCCTTCTTGGTGTTCTTAAGTCAGAGAAGGGTTCATTCCATTCTGTTCTGTTCTTGTTGTTCTTAAGCAAAGAATGTTTCCATCCCCCCATTCCTCGTAAAGGGGGGTTTACAATTTGTAGATTTATAAAAAATAATTAATTTTCATAATCAATATTTCAATAATATCAAAAAGATATATAAATAAATTATAGAAAGCAATTTCTTTCAACTCTACCCTCCCTCACTGCAGAGGAAGGTTGGGGAAGGGGGGGGGGGTGGAGGTTCAGGTGGTGATCAAACTAAAAAAATATTTTGATTATTTCTAGATGATTTAAAACACAGTCCTGATTAAAAATGCATTCCTGACTTAGAATGCATTTTTGATGATAAGAATGCGTTCATGATTTTAAACATTCTTTTCAATCAAGTTCCGTTCTTTTACATTTTTTTCTTTTACTAATTGTTCCACTATTTTTAAGAATGCGTTCTATGCATTCGTTTTTTTAGAAGGATGCAATTTTTCATTGTGGTTAATGTCCTTCGTTCTTGTGAGAGAATGATTGTTCCCCAGGAACTACGCACAGCCCTATTTACAGCCATAAAGTGTTTCTTCCTTTTTGCTCCTTTTTCCAATTGTTCCATTCCTGTTCAGTTCCATCCTTTATGTTCTTGATCAAGAATGGCTCGTTTATGATGGATATCATTTCTTATAAAGAACATCAACAATTTGATTGCTAATTAAATTTAAAATCGCCAGCTGTAATAGCTAAAGTGGGTTGGGATGGCTTGAGTTGGGAGGTGAAAGGGGAAAGGGGGTTTCTAAATTAAAGATAATTTAGAATGCGTTCTAATGTCTTTTTATACTTGCTAAACATTAACTTACTTATGTAGCCATTAGTTGCAAATATGAAAATCACATGTAAAAAAATATTTTTTAGTTACCTATTAGGAATAAAGGAAGGAGAAGGTTAAATAGGAACATGCTCTGGTTCCCACTTAAGTTCTTTTGATGTTGATTCAATATTCCTAACTAACTGAAAAGAGTGAAAATATAACTTGTCACAAACTGTAAATATGTGCTGAACCAATTAGCTTGTTTATAAAAGTGTTTTTTTTTTTAATTTGAGTTTATGGTCCAGTAAATTTTATCCAATTTAAAAAAATGTAGTTAAAAGGAATTGAATCTTTTCCACAAATTCTACTTTTCTAAACCCTATATCTTTGGATTCACATGTCGTAGACCTTAGCTATTTCAAACTATGTATTCTGTTAGATCAAATAATATAAGTTTGAAATATCAAAGATTTACGACATTGGGTTCTAAAGATATAGGGATTATAAATTCAGAGTTTGTGGCAAAGACTCAATTCCTTTGCAGATTATACTGTTTACAAAACTCTATTAATTCAACACTGTTTTTAATCCAAATTTTCAATTTCCACTGACTATAAACCACGCAAATGAATTGACACACAACAGCTTTGATGCTTAATCTATTTATGTAATTTGTCTGTCTGTCTGTTCGTTTGTATCCAATAAAGATCAAAACTGGTGAACCAATCTGGCCAAATTTTGTGTGCCACTTCACATGTTCCCAGTGAAGGTTCTAGATATTAAAATTTCAAATATTTGCCTCCTACCAAAATAGATTTTTGTTGAATCTTGAAAATCCACATAAATTTGTTTGAAACCACCAAACACATCCAGAGAAGAAGGAGAAAATAAGTTCAACATTCTTTTTTATGTTGTTGATTTCTTTCATTGATTTGAGAATATAAAAAAGCCACATTCTAAAAAATGTAATTTGGGTTTTGACATCAGAGATCAAAGTTCTTCTTTCATAATACAAAGTTATTCTTTCATTACTAAAGTTTTGTTTAAAATTTGTCTAAAACTACAATCTAACAAATACCATGAAAGAAGAACTTTGATCCCTGTTGTTGCAATTTTTACAGTGAAAGAGGGTTTGCTAATTCAAGGTTATTTTCATGTCATTTATGTTTTGAATGTTAACATGGAAATGATGCTGCTGGACTTGTTTTTTTGTTTTTACTGCTGAATTCCAATTAGATCACTTGTTAGATCATTGGATTTTAGGTTTCATTTGCTGAACTAAAGAAAATAAATTATTTTTATTTGAATATCAATGAATTTTTAGATTATAAGTATTTAAAAAAATGTTCAATTTAAAAACCGCCTGTCCCAAATATTCAAAAATCATTTCCTCGCTATGGGGGTGGACGGGGGAATTCTAAACTAAAACCTTGCAATCATCTTTGAAGTCTCATCCTTTGTGGATATAAATCCTGTACTATATTACATAATTTAGGATGTTCCATGAACTGTAAACTGGAGTCAGAAAGACATCAAAATTAAATGTAAAATTACCTAATAACCTAATGCTCATAAAAAACAATGGAAAATACTTAAGAAGTTAAAGTTGATTAAAGTACTATGTTAAAGAATTAATATTCCCAACCTGTTGAAAGATTTTAACAAACTGTATAGATATATATTTAGAGAGCTATATTGTTCTAAGAATTTTGACTTCTGAGGATCATCATGAGGCGTGAAACATTATGTTCAGTATAATTCTCTTTTAGTAAAATGTGAAGTTTAAAAACTGAAATATATAGATATATGAAATGATTATCTATAATTTTATTCTAAAGTTTTACCTACCACGTAGAGTATTTATAATGATGTAAGGTGCAATTTCTTACAAAATGTTTAGAATATATTATTCAGAAATATTCATCCAGAGCTCAACTTAGGATTAAATTAAGTAATAGCCAAGCCATTAGGAACACATGTCACAAACCTTTATGAAAGATATTAAAAGCTAAAGAAATGCCCAGAAATATAATACTAACCTCTTCATTTCAGCCTCTTTTATAGAAAACTTTTTTATACCAGAGTTCTTTTTCATGCAAACAAATCTAAAATAAATATTAGGCAGATCACAGAAGTCAGAAATTGACAGTAAATCCACTGTTTAAACTGGTTGTAGACTTAGTGCATGTGTTTAATATGCTAATGCATAATATTTTTATTTGAATACTATGGGAATTTCAGTTACTGAAACTATGAAAGGCTTCAATTATGAACTCCTTTATCAATAATAATGGACAAGACAATGTTTTAGGGAATTTAATATAACTTTTTTATTCAAACAGTTTGAAAAACAACATTAGAATGTTTATATCAAAACTTAATTAACTCTGTGGTGGCGTCATCATTAGAAACATACTGTAGAAATTTTAAGATCAATAATAAACAATCTTCTTTCCATACAAACTGGGACCATATTTAATGAATTTGATCTAGGTCTGTGAACTAGCTAACGTCCCTGAACTATTTACTGCTGCTGTTAAACCATCTATAGACCTAGCTCAAATTCATTAAATCTAGTCTATGATCCCATTTAATCCAAATTAGTGCAATGTTTTACAGTTTGGGGTAAAAGCACAGGACACCTCCAGAAAAAGAGCTAAATTGTTCTTTTAAACAAATTTAATGATTTGTTTATTCTTGATTTATTCTTGATTTATTCTTTAAAAATAAGCAAATAAAATATTTATTTCATTGAGGAATCATCTTTCCCATCTTTATCTTTTTGAGAACATCTCTCTGAATTACAGACAAGTGCACATTTCCAAGACTCATCTCCAACGTTTGCAATCCTAAATCTGTTTCGTAGAAGTACAGCAGCATTATTTGTTTCCCCCTCAACTCCAGTAGGTTTACCAGTTTCAGGAAAAGTTACGCTTGGGTTGGAAAAATAATTTGTTTCTATTCCATACCCGTCCTTGTAATAAGACATTATAGATCTATATCCCTCTTCTCCTCTGTTTGAACTCTCCATAAAGCTACCTTGGCCATAAGGATATTCTTCATTGACGCCCTGGTTAATATCATGGTGGGCACCTATGTTGTGACCAAGCTCGTGTCCATATGTAAACGTCTCAACACAGTGTTTTGCAACAACGCTGAAGGCATTCCCATTAAAAGCATAAATAGGAGCAATTCCACAAGCATCATTCATCATTGTCAATAAAGTGGCTGTGTCGGCAGTGTCTCTAATTTCCTCATGGGAATTTTTAAGGTTTTGAAAGGCAGTCAACTGATCACCAATGTCATGAATGTCATTTAGATCTGCAGCTTCTATGCAATTCTTAACTACAGTAATTGGAACTTTACTGTTGAGAAATCCTTGATTTGTTATAGCTAACATTTTATCCACAAAGTCATTTACATTATTTGTTTCTCTTGCAAACTCTCTTGTGTAGTAAACTTTAACTGAAATGTATGCCATGGTATCATTATCTTTAGTATTTTCCTCTGAGTCAAAGCCAAAAGCTCTGTTGACATTGGTAAGGTTTGGCATTACATAATCTTTCTTAGGTGGACCCATGGCTCTATTTCCAGTTCTACCAGTTTTCAGATTGTCAATCTTTTGCAAATCCATTTCTTTCCACAAATGCCCCTCCTCTCCAATATTTTCCAAAACAAAAGTACGACCATCTTTGGTTAAAGCAGTGCCACTCATACCACCGCTTGCAGGGTTGTAAGTGACAATCAGACTAGACCCATCTCCTTCATAATTGTAAGCATTGTCATTGCCTGGAACTTTGTTCTTGAATTTCAATTCTAAATTCCCAGGGAGCAGAATATTTTTTTTCCCAAGAATATCAGAACTAATGTCAGCAATCTGGCAGGATATATAAAACGGATCTTCACACAATTTCAATGTCTCTGCACTTGATGTTCTTAAAGAGGAACCAGGACCTAACACATTAGTAAAATTTATATCTTAATTTTACAAATCAAAAGGCTTGAGGGTTAAAACTTTGACATTTTTTTTACATTACTTTAGATATCTCCAGATTAGTGTTTTCTTGACCAATTAAGATTCTAAAAGTTATGTCTACAGAGCTGAAATTTTAGAATGGGATATTCTTAATCCTGATCGGATAATTAATCTGGAGATTAAAAATGAGAGGAGAACAAGCAATATTTAATCTCGAGATTAAGAAAAAGAGTGGATTAAGCATTAATCCCGATATCCACCATTCTAAAGTTTTCAGCTCTGATTCTTTTAATAATAACCATACCTTTTGGATTTAAATCTATTAGAAGCTGAGGTTCATCTTCGTCACTATAGTCAATGCCTTCTTTAGAACTTTCAGCAGTTTCAGAAATAGTATCATCATTCTTTACTATCTTTGCAAGGTATGTTTTTGTATTTACTATAATGAACAATGATTAAAAAGTAGAAATTTGCAATTCCTTTTAACTTAAACAAATTATATTTTCATGCACTGATGCAGTGATTAGACAATTTTTATATGATGCCAAAGTTGAATTTTTTACAGTTCTTGTGTAAGTAAGTGGACACTCCTTTGCAATAAAATTTCCGATTAATTTTCTGTTTGAATACTTAAAAATTTTTAAGTTCAAATTTTATATTTTGATATTTGAAATGTCTTTTTTTGGGTCAGCTAAATTTTCTTGCTCTTTTATCCTTTATTTTGAAATATGAAAAATTACAATTGTAAGTAATGTATATAATGCTAGCAGTATACCTGTTAGAAATAATGGAAGGAGAAGGTTAAGAAGAAATATAAATTGATTCATCCTAAACTGATTTCAATGTTGTTTCAATACTCCAAACAAACTGAATTACTGTGAAAAAGAAAAGTGTCATGAACTGTAAACATGTCCCGAATCAATTAGTTTGTTTATGAAAGTGTTTTTTTACAAAGATGAAATTTCCAACAATGTGACACATCAACGTAAATAACATAAGATTAAAATCTTTTTTTTGCCTAACCTTTTTTTAAGAGAGCTTTATATTGAGAAAAACAAAATGTTCTGAATTTTTATTATGAATAGATTTGCTTTTCTCATCTGTGTGCATTAAAACTAAAGTAAAGGAGGTTAGAGGTCACATAGTTATACCAGTATTGTTGGACCTTCTCCTCCTGGTTAGAGGTCACACAGTTATACCAGGATTGTTGGACCTTCTCCTCCTGGTTAGAGGTCACACA